AGGTCTGATAGTCCAGTTCCCACGCCGGAGTAGACTGTGACTTTATCATTCCCCGCGCATACGAAATTGTCCACTGCAAAACTGCTGAAAGACAAGGTGACGTACATGCCAGCAGAGACGGTTATTTCCCAAGTACAAGTCGCGCTGTTGTCGTAATTTCCGCTTCCGTAGTTCATAGTCGCCAGTGAGCCGCTCGTTTCTCCAAAGAACGTCCCGATGTTATCGCATCCAGAACCCAAACCTGCAAAAATGCCGTTTAGGGGGAGTTTGTATGTATTACGAGTATGCTCCTAGCCGAGACGAGTATTCCCATTATCATACAATACAGTTTTGATACCTCCACAAAACCCCAAAACACTTCCCGGAAGTTTAAAATCTCCGATTTCTTGATTTATCATATTGCACAAAAAGAGAGGGGGCAGTGACCATGGGCGTTTCGTGAATAAGATAAGATTACACAATAGCGTACTCGACATTACATGCTCAGTACCTGAAGCGCTTGCTGTAAATGTGGCTGAGAATCCTGTGTGCGCACCAGAGGCGAAAAAGCTGGTAGTCAGCACAACAGTCATTATGTTGGACGATGTCAGCAGGCTTGGAGGTGTGGTTGTTTCACAGTACTTTCCTAGGTGGTAAAGATAATATTGGGTTTCCGAGTTCCACAAATCACAAAGTGTGTGCTACAACGAAAGATAACAATACTCGTAACTTTGAGTTGAATACGAATTGATTTCTGGCTTGCAAACATGCGGTGAATTTAAGCTGTTATTCATAAATTTCATGCAGTAGAAATAGATAAATAAATAAAATAATGTTTCAACGTGTATTTTATTACCTAACAGAATCCCCGTCGAATCACCATCATAAATTTCGATGTAGTCATTGAAACAGTTGCTCCCGAAGATAGTACCAACATCAAAGGCATCGAAATGTAAAAGAACAACTGAGCCGGTTGGCACAGTTACGGTCCATTCGCAGGTAGAGCCGTCGTTCACGTAGGGGGAAGGGTAGTTGTCTGTGGTGAAAGTCTGACTCGAGAATGTACCAGTAAAACTTCCTCCATTGCTGCAAACTGGTGAACATAACATAATGTCAAACATTGTAACTTGATGCATTCTAGGTAAGTATCAGATTATAACTGAAAAAATGGCCCTTGCTTGAAATTCCAAATCGTATTTGTAGCCTTGTGTGTATGTTTTGTAAGAAAGATAGCTCTTGCGTTAGGGAAGAAATGACCTTTATATAGTCCCCCTGGCAGCCTGTCCTGGAACTACAAGAGCGTTTGTTAAAAATCTTTGAGGGAGGATAACTCAAGAACCGACTGACGGATTGTCGTGATTTTTTGGTATGTAGATGGCGGAAGTATCTATCTATCCAACCTCGATGACACGGTTATATGGTACGAATATAAGTGCCAATGTGGTCTAAATAATTAGAACAGGTGTTTTGGACCTTCGTGCCTTTGTTCCTCGCTGAACCCACGCACCCTGCCGACTGTCAATTGTAGCCAACAACACAGAGGCAACAGAACGACAGTGGGTAAATTTATCCAGTGCGCTACCCATCCATCTTAACACAAAACGTTTTCCGTATCTATTGACTGACGAAGCCTTTCTAAATGGGCTACTAATTGTCAAATTTCTCTACTTAAAAGCTTTATTATGTATGAGGTGTAAGCTTTTAGACAAAAGGCGGTCACACTGTGGGTGTTGCTCTTTTTTTAACATTGGAGCTATATATATACCCTGACCTAAGCTTCAAAGACGAATAGAATTCTAAAAACGTTCGACATGTCTTACATAAGGAAAATGTGGTTAGGACTTAATTGTGTTTGCCTATTGGGCCCCATTAAGGTCTACTTACAGTCTCCTAATCTTGTTAAATATGCACAGGTAGGCTATGAATAGATGAAGAAAAAACACGTCTCATTACCGAAAACACAAAGTGTTAAACGAAGTGCGCGGTGCACAACTTTTCAGCTTCTTAAGCTTCAAATGGCATTAAGATCAGATTGCGATGACCAAGCAAATTTTCAAACAAAAAAACAGAATAAAAACCAAAGTTTCAAAGGTGTTGAAAACCTTCGAAAACCAGAATTCAAAAGTCGTGTAAAATTTAACGTTAGAAAGCCAAGATTTACAGTATCCGAAGAACAATACTGTAACATTTTTCGTGAACACAATTTAAAACGCATTTCCATTCTCGGATATACTCCCAAATTCACATTGACAAACATTCCGTGTTCCTCACATAAGGCTATGCTTGGTTAGCCGTAAAGACTTTTATGTGACAGAGCGTTTGAGACAGCGCATCTTTTGAGGCATCCTCCGGATCTTCCGAACAGACAGTGCTGTTGTTGCTGTCACGTAGGTCTGGGCACATGTGTAACTCGTCAACAAGCACGGAACGCTTCACGTGAAAAACAGCGGCTATACAGACAAACCACCAGCACATAATCCGCAGTCTAAATAAGCCAGTTCTAAGCATTACCACGTATTTAAGGGATTTGTTGTCGTACCTCTTTGTGACATGTTTTCTTCTAAAAGAGAAAAAAAGACCACCACCTACCAGTGCCAGTGGTTACAGTGTGAGCATGAATAAGACTTAAACTTGTGGCCAAGAGCTTGCGATAAAAGAAAGTTCTGGACTAAAGAAAAACTTAGGGGCAAAAAAACGGCTTGTTATAGTAACCTGGAAAAAAGATATCTAATTCTTCCAACCTATTTCTAAGGCGAAAAAAAAAATCTGTATTGTACTGAATATTTGCAGTCACATCGTCCCAAATTTGGAGCTTGTTCGAAACGCACTATTTGCACATACCATTAAAATTTTCTCCAAGCGTAAGAAAAAAGACTTGTTGCAGGTCTTTAGGCAGATCCAATAACATAAGAAAGACCACCTTTTGAAACTCAAACGAGCAGATACAAAGCTTTAGTTCATGTAAAATAGGCACTGAAGCTACTGTACATTTAAAAACTGGCACTTGAACTCATCACTCTTCGACACGCGATATGCACACTCCAAATCCAATAGGCCGTGCTAATGTCGGACAGATGACATTGCCGTTTGATAATCTTGGATACTATTGTTGTATCCAGAACCGTGCCTATACCTAGTTAGTTATCGAGGTTAGGGTTAGTATCAGGCACAGTTCTGGACAGTCACAGCGTATCCTAGAACGTTGAGTTTGGAAGTTTTGAGTAACTTGTAACACCACATGTAACGTTACACATCTACCCACCTGACGAAGCTTCGTCTGTCCAAACCGCCACCAGAGCCAGCAGGATAGTAAAGAGAGACATGTCTCCTTCATAATCTGAAAAAAAAGTTAAAATGAAAAATTAATGCCTGCTTGTGTGTGGCTAGCTCCTCATAGTACTAATGATTAATGTGTGGAGTGTGTGTATTCTTTTTGCTCATCTAAAACACATCCTGTCAGTAATAGTCTTTTATATTTCACGTTTATTCAGATAAATAGCAACGTTAAGAACATGAAAGTGATTGTAACTTTTCACTCAATAGCTGAGAAGCATACGAGATAGCCATTGCGAGAGCCTTAACGCATTTTGCCTTGACGGTTAATTTTTGGTCAGTCTAAGAAAACGATATTTTTGTATCAAGTAGTACAACCAGATTTTGCGCGCTTAATCCCTAACATATAGACAGTTGATACAGATTGATACAGAAGTACTTTGCTGTGTACGTGTGTAGCTTCAAACGTGTGCTGTAGTATTCTTTTTTTCTCAAGTCCCCTCCTGAATATACTCCCGATTCACCAAAACCAGAAACATTTACTAGAAATGCTGACAGAAAAAAGTTTTTCAATCGATCGTATTATAACTTTTTTTAAAATTAACGATAGCAGGCCTCAATGGTAGTTAAAAGAATGAACAAGTTTGGGTAAGATCAGAAAAAAATGTGCAGTCTATAATGTACCTTGCCAAGAAGGAGCGCACACTCGCATCTATTTCTATTGCAGCTCTTTAAACCATTAGAGCTATCTTAATTTATTTCCTATTCAACATTTGTCGGAAGCTGTAATATGCACTTTTGTGTGTGTCACTGTCAAGAATTTTGCGACTATAAAGTAAAAAAAAAAGTGGTAAAAGTTTTTTTCCAGCCTTACCCGCTCTGCCCTGGCGATGTTGTCAACTCTCTCTCTCTCTCTCTCTCACCCGCGCCGCAAAACTGTCGCCGTCACTCCGGCTACCGGAAACACTTAAACCCCCTCACGACTTAAACCATTACATCTTACAGCTGCAGTTACCCCGAACAATGTTTACAACTGTTTCCTACCAATTAACACCGCACCTTGTACACGGTCAATGACATGCTCTTCAATAGTTTTTAGATGAAGTATAGTCCGCACTGTGTCTAACTCGACCTTATGAATACAAATGTTCATAGAGACGTCCGATTTGCTTCGCCTGTTGTCAAAGGGTGTCTGTCGCGGTATGGGGGATCTAGAGTCTATTTGTGGGCTATAATGAGTGTTTGCTGGTGGGAGGACACTGTATGTGGTCATGTTTGCGAATCAACACAAGGTACCAACAGGGTGAGAAGACATCTAGTACTATTCGTCACCTGATGTCCGGCGTCTCGCCTTTTCATTGGTCGAACCGGTGTAACAGGCAGGAATACTAGTATTCTCTTGGTCAGAATGCAAACCCGGGTATATTTAGGCTAGGGGTATCGTCCGGCCTGTTACGCCGGCATGAAGTGCTCTGACCTCTGCATCACTTATTTGTTGTATCCAAAAGTTGCCGTGCATTGGCGCCACCTAGCGGAACTTGACTATCCACACATCAATTTTCCCATACACATATTCAATGATGTTGCGTGAAGAATTTCTCGTTCAACAAAAAACAAAACTTGGTATTTGATACTTATAAACAAAATATTTCCATCAAAATTAAGTACAACATCATGTGCCGATATTTTGGTGAAACTTTATTCAACGATTTAATTCCTTAGAGGCGTATTGATGTGTAAATCGGTTGGTCTGGCATCTATGGTTCTGTCCTTGGTGATGATATAGATCCGGGCACATAATCCTAGATTACGTGATCACAAATTAAGAACGTCCCTTTCTTATCCCCTCATTTTATTGTTCCTTCCCATATTGCCACTTCAAGGTCCCCACAAAACGTTTGAACGATTTCTAATTGTCCCCAAGGGAATGCTACCTGCCGAGGTCGCGTAAATATATGTAAATACGCCGTGTAGAGTTGTGGAAGAACCGGTTGAGCAACACCTATTCTATTATAGCTTCAGCAAAGTGTCTAACCACTAGGACAGACACAATCGTTTGGCTATGCTTTATCTATACGTAAACTAGTTCTTGGACGTCTTGAGGGTACATCTACATCGTAAAGTTCAGCCAGGGACTAGTACTCAGTAGTAGGGATCGAGAAACATCATGCCGACCCCGACAATACCGGCGCTTGCAGACAGTAACAGTACCGGGCTGCCGGACGTGTTGGCCCGGGGAACGCGCGTGACGGCTCCCGATATCGCGGTGCTCGTGCTCTACCTGATAGTGACCGTGGGAATCGCACTCTGGGTAAGGAATACGTTCTTAAAAAACTTGTTGTTGTTGTCAGAGTTACATTGTATAATAACCTTAGCTGGGCGATTCCAAGGTCGTTGACCTATGTAAAATTACAATGTGCCCATCCCACTCTTTCACCCTTAGGCTTTCTACTCTATGTTTCAAAGTTTGTAGAGGAATTATAACACGTACAATGTAAGTAAAAGTGTAACTAATTAGAGTGTTGTATAAGACTACCGGCTAATTACATTAACCTAGTACAATCTACACATCAATTCAAAGCTTAGTACTATATAATATTGGTAGAGGGATATGCCACACATTGTATCTTTTCCAAATGTTGTGCAATAAACTTTATCATAAACATATTGGACAACTGGACACTTGCAATACATGTATAATTTAAAAGAAAGTTTATTTATTTATTTATTTATTGAAAATGCAACAAGACATTACACTGACTCTCAAGGCAGCAAAGCTGATGTTAGAGAGTCAACACATAAGGACAAAACATATAGGGCACATAATATCAACAGTGTGAAATTACAAAAAAAAATGATCATAAGAACCTATATCATTGCAATTAGCCGAGTAAATATATGTACACATCTAAAATAACACATTTGGAGGTCAGAGGTCGATAAAATAAGTCACAGTCAGACTACCTTAGGCCATGTTGATTTAATTATATGGATGACATCCTCTGGGAACCCCAAAACTGATGCGCGCGTGCGAATAAAAAAAAAGTTTTGCACAAAAAAAAAGTTGCTTTCACTATGAAATCTACGTGGTCATGAAGGTTGAAGAAATGGCACAGAATATGTTATGGCGAATAATCTACTCTTCGAATTCATTTCTTTACATTTTTGTCCCTTTTCCTTTGATTTTGGCATTCTACGACATTGGTATCGTTTCTAAATGTTTTCCTTGCAACTTATGGTATATTTTTGCTCATTTAGCAACTGTTTTGCACGATATTGATTTTACAGTATGGTTGTAAATTTTTTTTTTTTGGAAACGGCCGAAAATTCATGCGCGCGCGGATGTCATCCATATAATCAAATCAACATGGCCTTATATGATAAAAAAAAGGATACTAAATAACAAGGTTAGAAAGGAACAGCTGGAAGTGCCTAGAAACGGTTTGTTGAAGTGATGTAAGTGTGGAAGGAGTGTGAGAGGCTTTCGTTTAATGTGATGTCATTGCCCGGGGACCCGTTGAGTAGAACGCTGGTGGAGAGGGGCCGTCTCACGAGGCGGTACACAGCAGTGGCAAGGTCTTGTCGTGCCGCTGCGTGCAGTGGGCAGTGCAGGAGGAAATGTGTGACTGTCTCCGAGGTTGCACCACAGGCACATCCCCGGCCGGTAAGGTTAAACTTGGCCAGCGTAAAAGAAAGTTGTGCAGAAACATATGATGGATTTTGACATGATTGCAACAAAACTGAATATAAGAAATATTTCATCATGCCTGTACATAACAAAAAGACTAATAATGACAATATTGAATGACTGCTAGTACTCAATGGTCATCTTTGAAGGAGATTATGTTGGCATGATAGGACTATCTGCTAATTGTGTTTTTATTACTAGAACAAGATGACAATTTGGATGTACTTTTCACCTTTTCCCAGTCTATGTTGAAGCACCACCAGAGCAGTGCTAGCAGCTACTTCTTAGCAGGGAGGAACATGAACTGGGTCCTGGTGAGTTCACATGGGAGTTCTGGGGCTAAATGCATATACCAGAGTATGATGTTACATGTATAACATACTGAGAGTGACATAGTACATAGGATAGAAGGATAAAAGGATAATTACCTCCATGAAATGTGTCATGGAGGTTATATTTTCAGTCGCGTTTATCTGTCCGTCTGTCTGTTGGTCAACAAGATAACTCAAGAACGCCAGGATGGATTGGTTTCATACTTGGTGTGTTGGTAGGGTGTGACGAAAACTAGAAATGATTAGATTTTGGTTCCCCTAGTGGCTTCGCTTGGTACTGCAGCGCAACTTCCGGTTTTGATATCTCGCGATCTGGACATGCTAGGGTCATGAAATTTTGATGGAAGGTAGCTCTCGTGCTTGGGAAGAAGTCATGTGAGTTTGGGCCCCCTAGCGGCTTGTTCTGGAACTGCAGGGCACTTTCTGGCGAAATGTTTAAAAGCCAATAAGTCCAGACAGGAACAACATATTTTCATTATTTTTGGTGTGTAGGTAGCTGAGAGAGATATGTACATAATTAAATACAAATTATGCAAATGAGGAGTTTATTTGCATAATTAATGAGGAAATTCTATAATTACAGTGTTTTACATTATACTACTTACATACATGTAATGTATGTAACCTATGGCAGGCGGAACTTCAGCAGATACTAATTATGCAAATTATGACCTAATTTGCATAATTAATGCGAAAATTCTATGATTTCGTAATGGTGAATGATGAGAATGTCGTACTTGGGACATCTGTAAGTTAATCAAAAGTCAACATACATCACGATGCATATATCATGTTAATGCAGAGGTCATTTGCAAAATTAAAGAAGAAATTTACATTTACATATCAAGATCATATTTCATGGAGGTATGAGATCTCGGAATTCTAGTTAAACCTCCTGCTTCGTAGGATTGCCTCGTTTTCGTGCGCGCTCGCGAGATCTCGGCAGAGCGAGAATTAACGTGATCTTCATTCGGAAAGTGGACTGGCGACGGAACATCGGTGTGAAGAAACTGCTCCTGAAACTTCGGAGGACGAGAAACGCCCGTTTTAGGTGCTGAGAGGTACGTAACTTTGTTCATTGTATTCTTGTGAACATTTTTTGTGGAAACTTTTGTGAAAACAAGAAGTAATTCCGAAGAAATATGACCGAGTTTCTTAACCAGTGTGGCATGGCGTGGTACACCCGGGTGCCCACACGTTAACTTTTTAAAGCAACAAGGAAAGTATCACCGGAAGACGAAAAACGTCCGTTTTAGGTGGTGAGGGGTACGTAACTTTGTTCCTCGTATTCTTGTGAACATTTTTTGTGGAAACTTTTGTGAAAATACGGAGTAAAACCGCTGAAATATGACTTAGTTTCTTGGTCATTGTGGCGGGGCATGGCATACTCACACCTGCACATCTGAGTTAGATTGATTTGCGTAATTAGCTTAATGATAAACAACAAGGAAAGTAACACGTGGCGTACACGAGGGCACACTTGAGCTAGCTTTATTTAAGTTCTTTTTATGTACAGCAATGAAACGAAACATTACATGATAATCATGCAGTATTATTTTTAATTTCTGTATTATTTTTATAATGTTTCAACATCTGATACTTGAAATGCATGCAGTTTCATGTATTGTTAGCGGCTGATTGTTAGTAAGTTTACACTTACAGAACTGTCAGTGGTATTTCATCCTTGTTTAGATGCAGCATTGCCATTCCTAGTATCATATTGTTTTTGTACTTGTGTATATGTACCAACATAATTTTTTCCTGAATGTTGTCAATATGACGTTTGCTAAAATGTTCAGTTTTTTTTTATGTGATATGAGAAATGTATTTTATGTGATAAGAGATTTGAACTGTTCTTTCCTCAGATATTTTGATGTTTACTTTCCCTGAATGTGAATGTTTTGATTGAACTGTCTTGTATTTTCTACCCCATTCATATGCTGCATTAGTTTGTTGACTATCACTACTGATATGATGGTTACATGTATGTAGCTGGCAATGTTTGAGGTTGTGTGAGATGTATTTTTAACAAGTGTTATTTGGTCATGATATACTGTGTACTTTTGACTGAATGTTGACTGCTCTTCTTTTGTCCCATTAACAAAGTATATGTAGCCTGAGTGGCATCCAATTTGTAACGGCAACCCTGAAAAAGCATAATATGCTCTTGCCTCAGACAAAAACGTTTTTAGAACTTAAACAAATGCTGTGCATATTAAGTGCATGTTCTTTGAATATTGTTGTTGTATGTAAATTTAGCCTGTGATTTCTCTGAAGGTGTGTTTCTTTAACATAGTTGTGAGGTCGAATTTTGACAAATCTTAGCTTGTAATTTTGAAGTTTTCTGCGCCGCCGAAAATGGCGGGAACTTTCCGTCACATGGAGATAGCTTGAATAATTTAGGCTCATTAAGGGTTTACGAATCTTTTATATGAACTAACACTTTAGGAGATGTAACTGGTATAATATATTCTAATACAAGTTGCAATGTAAATGCATTTCCAGTTTTGGAGTATTTTTTATTGTTCATCTTTCAAATCCTGACGCTCAAACCACTCGGCTAAAAGGACTAGACCGCCCGGCTGGATCAGTTGGTAGCGCCTATGAACCCCTCACTGTTACATCATTCCTACATCATTTGGATTTAAATTCAAAACTAGAGAAGATTTATGTAACCCAACACCAGACGCCATGCTGACAGATGTAAACAAATCATGACATTGGGCAGGTCAGAGGTCACTGGAGAAGAAGAAGAGGAACAAACTGAGCAAAAACAATATGTTTTCCTTCGGTAAACATAAAAATGCCACCAACTTACAGTAGGGGCTCAATGTCAAAATTTTCATTTGGGTTTTAATGATCCTTTGTTTTGTCTCTTTGCAGATTCAGAATGGAAAAGGCCTACAAGTGTGAGGAGTGCAGCAAGCAGTTCACTCGGCTGGGTGATCTGAAGAAACACATGCGGACTCACACAGGGGAGAAACCCTACAAGTGTGAGGAGTGCATTAAGCAGTTCAGTCAGCTGAGTAATCTGAAGAAACACATGCAGACTCACACAGGGGAGAAACCGTACAAGTGTGAGGAGTGCAGCAAGCAGTTCAGTCAGCTGAGTAATCTGAAGTCTCACATAAAAACTCACACAGGGGAGAAACCCTACAAGTGTGAGGAGTGCAGCAAGCAGTTCAGTCAGCTGAGTCATCTGAAGAAACACATGCAGACTCACACGGGAGAAACCGTACAAGTGTGAGGAGTGCAGCAAGCAGTTCAGTCAGCTGGGTAATCTGAAGTCTCACATAAAAACTCACACTGGTGAGAAACCCAAAAAGTGTGAGGAGTGCAGCAAGCAGTTTAGTTAACTACAAAAGTTTAGTTTTTGGTTCTCGTTGCTTGTACATGTATTATAGGAGTATATAAAAAAGAAGAGAGAGAAAATTGAGGCAGAATTGTAACGATAATTAGCTGTAGCAGTTTTGGTACCGACACGTGCCAGGATGTCAGGCGCTTTGAAAGGGAGGAATTTCCAAACCGGACGCAGACAGACGGACAGAGAGGAAAGAACTGTCTGCAATGTTAGTTCACTTTGGGACGAGCTTCTTAGTTATTTTTGCTTGTCAGTTTTGTTGTACATGATTCCTGGCACGACCACCCTACTGGACAGAACAAACCACCACAGAAACGTCCAAAACATCCAACCATCTCTTGAGAGTTTTGGGCAATTTGGAAAGAAGAGGACTTAAAATTTTGTCCCCAATTATGTTGTGTACAACTGTAGGGTTGTTAGGTTTGGAACTACAAAACCCAGTTGAAAAATTGTCTCAAGATTTGAATTTGAAGATTTAATCACAAGAAACTTGACTTAGAAAGACACTCACTTCTGAGTTTCTCTAAATGCTATCCCCCTTCCCCGGACCAATTTTTGTGTGGTGTCTTTACCTTGATAGATGCACAGGGGGGGGTTGTGTAGCCAAGGACTAGGGCTCCTATCAATGTCCACCCCAGATTTACTCACTAAAGGGCCATTTTTGTATTGTCACCTCCAACATTCATTACACCCCATAGGGGCTGCACTGTTGTTACAATATCTCCACCCCCCTAGGGTAGCATTGATAGGTGCTTAGCCGTCTAAATGTATTATAATCTTGAGTTTCGGAGGCAAGAAGCACCAAGGAATAGTGTTAAGACGTGGAGTCGAGGATCAAGACGCCTTGGGTGGGGGTGAGGTTCCTTAATTATTGTAAGTACCGTAGCTCAGATCTTGTGTATGTATCAGTGCAAGAGCTCCTGACCTGTCAGCATTTTCTTGTCGACCCACCTCCGCCCAAAGTCGTCTCAAACATTTAAGAAATCGAAAGGCCAAGATATTTTGGAACACCCCAAATGATTTGAATCATTTTCCTCTATATTAGATCATCATAGTGTTATAAAAATGCATCTGCTGATTGTGTAATGTATGATTTTCTTAGTGCATTTATTTTTTGTTGAACGTTTTTTTGTAATTCTTAACGCTGCTGTAAAAACATGTAGCCTTCCCCCCATTCTGAAGTAGACTTGTCCAGCTTTGTATCATGTATTATGATGATATTGCTGACCTGTAGAAGATACCATTCTGTGGTGGGGAGTCAGAATAGTTTGTGAATATTGCTGTAGAGCGTATCAAGACCACTGAATTGTTTCCATTATAATTTTCTAATCTTGTTTATCATCATACATGTACTATTACTGTACTGTTTTCCTCACCCAACCGTGTACATGTACTTGTATCAAACATTGTCCTACATTTTTGTGCACATACTGTTACCGCACATTTATGTGAACATAGTTCCTACCATCATATTGTGTATTTCCCTATCAAAAACACTTTGTATTCATTATTGTACCAGTACTGCAAAAGTACCGTCATTTTCCAAGAGTCTATTAATTTATATTTGCCAAAAAAATCATGTTTGTAGTCGTAGTAACCATCACCTGGTGTTCCAAACTATCGCCTTGGAAATGTAGAAGTGTCGGTTTTCGGATGGGTTTGTTGAAGTTTTGCCTTCCGATTTCGGAGTTAAAGGTGTAACGTTAGTGCTTGGGAGCCTCACTTTGTGCATACAAGTTGTAACGTCCTCGACTACTGGAATAAAATGTAATTATTCTATTGGTAACGCGAGAGGTTTCAGCTTTCTTCGCCAGTTTCTGACGAATGTAAGTACACATACATTACACTTCATTCAGCTCTTCAAATTCCAAGAGATCTGGTGAAACATTGTGCTTTCCCTGTACAAGTGGATTCTGAAAATTCGTCAAATATGCACATACCCGAAAAGTTTGCTCTGCAACAGGTGCTAGTGTTAGAGGCATTATTCCGTCCAATATGTGATAGTTCTTAATTCTACCGATAGCACGTTCTACATGTATTCTTACTTCAGCGATATCCATTATGTTCTGAACTTCTTCAGCAGTAAGTGCTTCCCTGATACCTTTGAATGGTGGTATGTTCAAATTTACACCTGGTGGGAGAATATCTTGAATTTCAACCCTCTGTCAGCCATTACATTGTCCCCTGGCTCCAGGAAGTCAAATACACCAGACTCTAGGGTGACTTTCTTGTCTGAAACCCTTCCGCCCCATACTAATTCAGACACAAATGTCACCTGCCCATTAGGACTTACCCCCACCAATGCTTTCCAAGTATTATGGTGCTTGTAGTTGGACCAAGTCTCTGACTGTGCTTTCATGGAGGAAGGAATCTGCACAAAAATCTCAGTACAATCCAATATAATTCTTGTTGTTGGGTACTTGTGGAACTGTGGAGGCATGTAATGTCTAACACGAGCTTGTGATGGAGTTGGAAACAGCATGGGAATCTCATAAGACAGGAAGTTTATCCAAGTGGTGAACACACGAGAC